TCACCGATCGCATGTTCGAGCCACCCTACATTCAAAAAATGGAACTTCCTTTCGACGTGAAGATACAAAGAACGTATAAAATGATTTTAATCACGCAAACCGTGTACGTTGTCATGTGCAGTTGGGCAGCTGGTGCTGTAAATGCTTTGCTTTTAACATTGATAAGTTAAGGAACGCATGAGCGATTATCGCGAACGACAGTTGCAGCGGTAATAAATAAACGACTATAAATCATCCAACGATACTAAAATCTGGCAAAGAGTTTCAACGGACAAAATCATCCAGAAACATCAGAAAATCATTGATTTCTCGAAGAATGTCGAAAATCTCGAAAATACACGTACATCGTGTTGTTGCAGTTTTTGTCTAACACGATAATGATTTGCTCATTGGCATTCCTCATCGTGAGCGTGAGTAAAAGATGGAAATTAAAATATTACATATATATTAATGATTATATTACTTATCAAGTTTTTTACTTATTTAGTTTTGCTAACAAACGTACTATGTTAAATAATTTCTTCGTATTTTACAATATGAATGAGATATGTAAAATGAAGATATTTATAACTGAGCAACAAGATAAAGATTTTTTTATTTACAGGCAATCGGTACACCCGACGCGACAGAGCAAATAATAAGATCCCTCCTATTTTATACTATAACGAATCTAGAAGCATTTGTGTTCTGCTTTGCTGGAGAATACCTGAACAATAAGGTTAGTGACAGAATGTTCTAGACTTCTACTTTCTCTTATTGTAATAATTATAATTGCTAGAGCGATTAATTAACTTTGACGTTTTGTTAAATAAAAATAAAGAAATTTGCATTGTTACGTTGTAACTGCCAATGCATGTGTTGGAAATATTGGATATATTACGTATTCTAATGGAAAACAGTGTGATATAATAATTATGCAGTTAAACTCTATGTTTTTAATCTCTCAACATCGCACGTCTTAACACGTCGTTACACGTCTTTTTTTGTTATTAACGTCCAACTCTCTTCCCAGCTCGCCCTCGCCGCGAGTCTCCCCTCCATCGGTCGTTAGGCCTGCGCACTGGTCAGGCCTGCCGGTACGCTAGGTCCCAGCTCTCATGGCATTTCCAACATTCGGCCATTCTGAAGACGGTGGCTGTCCTCAGACACCCTTTGGTTGTATGACGATTGTCTTCTTTCTCCGTAACGACATCTGCCTTCCATCAATCCTTAATTGCTCTCCTATCTCGATATATCGTTCCTGCGTTTGACTCTACCCTGTAATGCTGCAATCTCAGATCTCTTATGTCCGAGTTATTCTGATAATTCTGTATTCGTATAACTGAATTAGTAAAACTAGAATCAGTCCGTATAACTTAATCAGTTTGGCTTTGTCATAATAACCGAAATTAGTCCTTGTGACCGAGCTAGTGTGATCGTATTGCATCAGCCTGTGTCGGTCCGTATAATCGAGCTAGTTTGACATTCCCATGTCAGTTAGCACCGATCCGTATAACTGAACTAGCTTGGTACCGTCGTACCAACCAGAATCAGCCCGTATAACTGAACTATGTGGCAATATTATGCCAACCAGTGTCAGTCCGTATAATCGAGCTAGTTTGACATTCCCATGTCAGTTAGCACCAATCCGTATAACTGAACTAGCTTGGTACCGTCGTACCAACCAGAATCAGCCCGTATAACTGAACTATGTGGCAATATTATGCCAACCAGTGTCAGTCCGTATAATCGAGCTAGTTTGACATTCCCATGTTAGTTAGCACCGATCCGTATAACTGAACTAGCTTGGTACCGTCGTACCAAGCAGAATCAGCCCGTATAACTGAACTATGTAGCAATATTATGCCAACCAGTGTCAGTCCGTGTAACTGAACTAGTCCGGCATTACTATACACCAGCTAGAACAGTCCGTATTATAATCGTTGTCAGTAAGCTAACATCCTCAATTACAAATTGTTTTCTCTACCATATCATTACTGGTTATCCAGTTCGTTGTCGACTGTCAGCCACATTCGTCACATGGCTCCTATGGTAATCTACACCGCATGGTGGACCGTGTCGTAACTCCGTCTTACGAAGCGCTCTTTATTGGTTTAAGACCGCTACCCATGGTTTTATTCGATCAGCTGCTACAACTGTTCGACGTCGCCCGCTTCCTTCTCTCAGGTCTTCTACTTCGTATCGAGCGTTAATAAGTACCTTGTAAACCCGAAATGGACTGTGGCGGCATGCCTGCGCCACTCGAGCACGCGCGCGACGCGCGCGCCACCAAACCCCCGCGGCCGCCGGACACATCGCGCGCCTACGGGCCTCTGGCG